CAATTGTACACAGCTTGACTTGCTCACAATAAAATTCCGTCACCTTAAGTTTCCCTTTTCACTGAAATGTTGGAGCACTAGGTAAAGGCAGTAGATCATCCAAACACGTGGGACGATCCGGGGTTTCTGAATCAACCGGACTGTCTTGTAAATGAATACCACAAGACACACCATTGTCATCGGTTTGATTCTTCAGCGTCTGAGGTGGAGCGGATGGCACGTTGCTCGTTCCATGAGGTGGCACCACTGGTTTCTTGTCCATGATCAGCGAATTCTGAAAAAAATCATCAAAAACTTATGCAACCAATCTGATTAATTTATTAAAAACTTTGAATAATTCTCCCAGGAATTCTTTCATATTTTTGGGCCACACATATGTTGGGGAGGTGTTTCCGATCTCACATGGTCGAGACCACACTGTTTCCAATGATACTGTAATGATCTTGTCATTAGTAAAAGGATGAAAGAATAAAGCATTCGGCGTTTGTGACAATGCCTTACTCGGGTGCGCCACGCACTCTACTTCCATTTAAAACCGCAGTGGCGATCAGAGTGCGAGAATGCGATTTGGCTTCTACAGCTAATTGCGGGGTCAGCTATGGTACATATAAGTCAGTGTATTTATCGCCTTCGACAATTCTGGTACCTACTAACCGACCCCAAAAGGATAGCATCTTGTGCGACTACTCATTCCACCCCGTGGGTATAAGTATGAGAGCAAAGTTTGAAGAATTCCCCGTCTGCTTCCCAAATTAGAAATTTAGGAGGAGCGAAGAGTCCTGAACAAAAATTAAAGTAGCAAAGTAGGAAATATTTGGTTGAAGACTTGATTACTCGAAATTACAAGGGTATAGGAAAGTTTTGAAAAAGTACTGCCCCTCAATTTTGGAAGCATGTCGCGCGTGAACGCGCTAAAGAAAATCTGTAAAGCAAATGGCAGCTAAACGGACAATGATCGTACAATCCCTTGAAAAATACTGTCGATGGAACAGCAAGGTTGTTGTTGCCTGATATCACTCATACTGGGCTTACTCTTTGTGTAGGATCCGATTGCCCTTCACCGACGAATGATAGGTTTAGATCTCTTTGTCAAAAATAACTTTGCTTCGCAATGCTATTCTCCACAAGCGTATTGGGAATCGAAAGCACGTAGTAGGACCTTCCCGTTATCCCAACCCGGCAGTCCCTTTCTACTGTAGAAGACAAGAGTTTCCCAAGCAAAGAGGCGCGAGCATTTTTATGACTCAAAAAATGCGAGGTCACAGCGCTAAGGCGCTTGCCTTTGTGCTGCCGTGCACCATCCTCTATCAAAGCGCGTGCCTTACGTGTGTGTTTCCGCCCTCCTCGGTACACATACTCCTCTGCGTTTTCGCCTCCTTGTAGGGCACGTCTCCTCCGTACCTACCTAACGACCACCTACACATAGGGAAATTCAAATCGTTTTTTATAACACCTTTTGTTTTTCTCGCCACCCCACGTCCTCATCTGCAGCTCCTTGCCTACATTTTCAAACAAATAAACACCAATTTCGAATCCGACTGCTTGCAATTTAAAAGGATGATCTGCGACGAATATTTTATATAAGGATCATTTGCCCATAAGGGAGCATTCGCTTTTTCATAAAGTCATACTGTAAAATATGACAACCAATAAGACATCCACTACGCATTTTGAGCAAAATGGGGTCTGGTGCTAAGCCACCATCATCTGACTCCTCGACACAATTATGTAATGCGAAATCGCGTCAACAATTCCATGAAGCTCGCCCACGTTTTATGGAGCAATGCAATTTATACTAGCTACAACTTTTTCAATGTCAACAGAATAACAACCCAATAACAGAAGGTCATCATAAAACCACAATAAGCCGAAATTTTGCAGGAACGCGATTAAAGGAATCTTGCGCGGAAAAATCATGATTCTATTTCAGCCATAAATCACTGGCTTGAGACTCATTATCCACGATAATAGTGAAAAGAACTGAAGTATTGCTTTCGTTTTGATTAGAAATTCGAAAACTCGAAAAGGCTGCTACGCGTTCGAATTGCCCACGGACGTCTTTCACGAATGCTGGCGACGGGGATGCTCAAACTTGGTTCTTGGAGTGCATTCACTAGAAGCTCTTTCTGGCCTTCTGCTTCGTTGCATTCACATCTTACACTTCTACTCCATCCTATTCCATCGATCGATTTGTCTCCACTCTCCGAAATCGCGCGCTTTAACCCGATTCTCTCATTGCGTCGCCTGGTACGTAGCCGGCCAAACGCCGTCTTCTTTCCATGCCTCGCCTGGCTCTGCCTCCTGGTCCTTCGATGGTCCATAACGTGTAGTTTTTGTACGTTTGTTTCTCTTCAGAAACCGAATCTTCATGCGTGAAACTTTGTGTGCTATTTCCAGTGATCACAACTGACATATTCATGTTAGGAAAGAGTGCAAGAATTTTCCGCGCAAGATTCCTTTAAACAAACTTCCTACTTTTTGAAAACTGTTTCCAGTCCCAATAGTTTTTTCAAATTTAATGATTCAACCGTCAAGCTTTTCAATTCAAAAAACAATTGGTAAAATTAGAGAAAACACCCCCCCCCCTCCATTGTTCCCTGCAATATATGCCTTCAGGAGAGGATCCAGCAGCTGAAAATGCTAAATCGCGAATTGCATTCAGCAAAACTTAATGCAAATCAACACACCTTTTTAGGCTTTGCACTGTTGCTCCGCCTGCAACTTTCGCATGGTTTTGACTTTTTCTTAGATTCCGTCAAATTAATAGTTTTACGTCGACTCATAAGCAGCATTTCGACTGGATTCATCGGGGGGGGGGTAGAAAATTACAGATTTTCAGATAAAATAGAGATCTAGCAGGCGTTTTAATCCCCCCTAACAAAAATTCTCCCCTGTATAAGGCTCCGTGCCCAAACTTTAACAATTAACGGATTCGGTGTAATTCGAGGGTTATAGCGATGAGCCAGCGGTTCTAACGATGCACCAGGGTGTAGTCGCTGATTGGCTGGCGCATCGCTCGTACCCTCGCATTGCTAGCAAAACGCCCAATCGTCGCGACTTCGCAAAAGTCTGGACACCGACCGGCTAAAGATCACAGCAGCTTGTATGGATACCGCGTAACATAAAATCAAACAATCCAGTGCTTCTAGCCGTGGAGGGGGACCACGCGGCGGCGCGGCGCTCTGTTCGTCTCCTCCTGCGAAGCTTATACTCAATAGCGCGTATTTTGGAACAAACTACCACGTGATGGCGAAATAGTAACTGCCCACTGGGACTAAGCCTTTGGAGGAGCAGACAAACAGAGCACCGCGCCCCGTGGCGCCCCACCTCCCAAACATAAAATAGCACCAAAAAATCGTTAATCAATTCAAAGCGAAAGCAAGTCAGATATTAGCTGATAGAAGAAGATATACCGAAAATATAGAGTTCGTCAAAGGCATATGGTCCAAACGAAAGCCACAATGCTTGACAACAAGTGGGTCATGGACGAGGAGTGGCAGAAAAGCTGAATGGTAATTGCAAGCGTCCACAACGTCGCCAAAGTGGCAGCTGCCAGAATATCCCCCCTATAGAGACACTCACACCAGTCGAATAGAAGTGAAGGATTAAAAAGACTCAGAAAGAAAGCACCTCAAAAAATGAGAACATCTCGCCAAAGATCGAGTCAAAGACCAAAGTCCTGCACGTCGCATCAAGAATGCAACGTGCATATAAGAGAGGATGCAGTAGCAAATTTGATGAGCCCAACGATGACATTGCACCCCACGAAGTACAGAAAGACTTTCACGCAAGGATCTCCTAAGTTAAGGTATTTTAACATTTGAATACCGGCGGAAGTCCTGGTACCTTCATTCGCGTAGAAAATTTCGGGAAGAGTTGTTCTCGAATATGTTCGTGAATCTGCCCCAGACAAAAATTAGAACGTTTAGAAATCCAGCGGACTTGACGGTTCCTCTGTAAAACTGGGGTAGGACTTCCACAAATTGAGAAAATTCCGACCTTAACACAGTGCGGGGTGAAGCTGCAGGGGAGGGAGTTGCAGAGGGAGTCTGGAGGGTGAGATGCAAGGAGGAAATCAGCTCTGATCAAAGGGTATCGCATGTTCCACCACTTCGCTCGACGCACGAAGTGGGCCAGGCGCGGATGCGCGAGGAGGAGGACTCTCTTCAGCAAGCCAAGTGGGAAGCATATCTCGTGATTGCAAATGTGCAGGCTACCATGCCCAAAAAATGAAAACAGATGCAGTCATTGGCAGTAATGAAGACGGCACGAAACGCTAAAATCTCTCAAAGTCATAGTTGCGAGCAGATCGCATCAAGACAAATGACGATTTTTCACAATGATCCTTCTCTACCACTGATATGGTGCAGTATGATAAAGGGGAGAGACCGACCAATGAGGAATTCGCAATCTCCGCCTACATGGTCAGCCTTCAATGTACATTCGCAAGTTCTTAAAGTTTTTCTGCTCTTTTTTATGAACAATGCCGATCAATTCCCACAATTAGCTGATCTATTTTCATTTTTTCAAGATCTTACACCTATGCAATCACGGAATATGCCTTTGAAGCCGAAAGAATATGTTCGAAACGAGAACGAAATCAAAGGCATGGTAATGGAACTGTAAAGAAGCTAGTGAGTAGAGAGGATGGACGATAGAGGTCGGCTACAGTGTAACCGCGCAAGAAGCGGCCGCAATCCACCCTCCTTCACGATGGGCAGATTCTCTAACGCAGAAAAACAACATCTATGATCCAGAGTCCTTTAGGGTGACCACACACTGGACAACCATAGCCCAAGATCGAGAACAATGGAAAAGAAGTTGGGACCCGCGCAAGGCCAACCGCCGTGCTGATGGACGGGTCGTCTAAATGTCTAATTATGTGAGGTACTAATTCCATACGTCTTGAGAGATTATCCGCACTTTCCACGACTTTTTAGATCGTATTCACACTAATTGAAGCTGCTCAAAAGAAAAGAAATCTGGGAAACAGTATGATTATTAACAAAATTACAGCTGGAAAAGAAGGCTCGTATAACGAAATAGCGCACATTTCCGCGTTGTGAGCAGAGCAGAACAATACCTAAATGACCCAACTCGAGACTCGCTAATTTCTCTCTTCTAGATACATGACATTTACAGCTGCCCAATTAGTTCTTTGTGAAATCCGCGCGTTCAATGTTGAGATAGCGCTCACGCTTCATTTTGGACCCGGCTCATGTGACAGACACATACCCATATAAGCTAGCTGTCAGCTACAAATAGCTAGCTCTCACCATAGCACTGACTCTTCTCTTTCGTCACAAGTGACACGTTGTCGAAAGGGTGAGAAGGGTTCCAGCCGCAAAGCATTTGATTTATGACAAATGTATAGTAAGAGAATTATTCCGAGCACTTGATTTATGACAAATGTATAGTAAGAGATAATTATTCCGAGCAGAAAGCTAGTGAACAGGGCCATCTGCTGCCACCTTCGGAACCCAAATGCAAAATGAACGTGAGCACCTTGATAACATAGGAGATATCAAAGGCTTGTCAGGGAAGGTCATCAGGTCGCTCCGGCCGTTAGCAATGAGCTGTATACCGTTGCACTCGCCTCGAGACGCTGAGCTCAAAACTGCCTTCACTATCTGCTAAACGGTTCTTTGAACGGAGTTATAAAGCAAGAAAGCGCAGCGGTAGTGCCCCGGTCGCAGGCAAGAGGTGGTGGGAACGGTTTTCCGAGGAGCCTGCTTTTTTGTTTTCAATGTCAATGTGGCAGGAAAGCTTCTAAATTCGTTATTTATCACACTTGCCATCTACATGAAGAGTTTGCGAGCAGTTCCCACAACCTCTTGCCTGCGAGACAGGGCACTACCGCTGCGCTTCCTTGCTTTATAACTCCGTTCAAAATCGTTTAGCAGATCGGGAAGACAGTTTTGAGCTCAGCGTCTCGAGGCGAGTGCAAGTGGTATAGAGCTTTTTACGAATGGCCGAACCGACCTGATGACCTTCCCTTGTTAGCGCTGCCACTTTGCAATAACAGCACAATTCGCTGCTCCCAGTGTGTCACATTTTAAAATGCAACAGAGGGCATAAGAATGGAAACATTTTTTTCTCAATCCAATACGGCCAACGAAGGACAGAGCTGTTTCCATTTCTCAGAACAGACAATTGCCACTATATGCACATAAGGTTGTTGGGTTCATTTAGAGCATTATTGCAGACGACACGATTGCTTGGAAGAAATTAAAGGACGAATTCACGATGAAAAAGCAACCCATTTCAAATTAACCTAGGGATGGTGAGTGGTACACGAAAGAAGGAAGAACCATGAGAAACGGCCCAGAACCCGAGAAATGGACCCCTTCCTTGCCCGTTGATTGAGCATTGATGCGACTCTCATCGCTGTGCCCTCTTCAACACTACGCT